CAAGCATCGCAACGCCGCTCTCGTTGGCGTAAAAACCGGGGCTGGTAATGATGCAGTGGAGATTTTGGAGGAGTACTCCGCCCGGCGGCGGGCCATCGCAGACAAGGTCATCGACATGGTGGGCGGCATGACGGAGTTTGAGAATGGAGGCGCAGGCTGGGGGCCATACTTCCGCGGTATCTCTTTGTGGGCTCTCTTCAAGATCCCGTTCGTGAACGCGCTGATTGCGTGGAGACTTAGTGGGCTTGGCCATGCGAAGGAAATCTGAGGGCGTATCTTATTTTAATTAGATTTCATTGTCTTTGATCTCTTCAGCCTTCTCGCTTGGGTAGTTTATCACTAGAAAAAACGAGAGCGCAACCGTTTTGTTTGAGTAAGTTGAACAAGATATAGAAACGAGGAGGAATGAGCATGAGGAGCCCAATTTTGACCAGCACACAGAACTTATACGTGTCCATAGATTATCGTGGCCAGCGACCTTGAAAGAAGACGAGAGTGGCTATAGAACTGGAAATCATTGCATGTGGCGAGATGATGGGTAAGGAACCAGGAGCGGTTGGACACGCATCAAGTAGTCCGGGGAACGCAAATACAAAAGTTTGGCGGGCGCTAGCTCCATGCTGAGGATCGCCGAGGCGTCCCGAGAGCGAAAGTGGGCAATGTGCATCCAAAAAGCCAAAAAGTCGGATTGAATTCTGGTCCGGTGGCAACTACACTAGCCATAAGTTTGCGTTGTCGACAAGCCCGGTCTCCTGGGACTCGGATCCGAGTCAGCAGGGCTAGAGAAGTTGATCGTGGTAGAGTATGCGGCAGAGGACGAGTGAAATTGGAACCGAAAACGAAGAAAAAGAGGACACGGGATTCATTGACGTGGTTCAGAGCAGCACCTCGAATCGAACAAGGTCCTTGGGGGTGACAAGTTTTGCGGCATCATTAAGGAAACCCAGTGTGCAACGATACACCATACTGCTGCTGAAACGAGGTTTTCGAGTACATGAGGCGTAAATTCTTAGCGGTTCAAAAACATATGGGTTGTGGAATTGTAACCAGGTACCGATGTCGTTTTCAAAAGGCTTTCAAGCTGAGCGCAAAAGTCCAGGGGCCTGAGTCTGTCAAGAATTGGATCGGCCTCGACCCGACAGAATTAATGGCAGTAGACCAGCGAGAGCGAAGGAAGGGCAAGCTCGAATGTCTGCTGCGCCGCTGTGGAACATGGTGGAGAAGGAGAAAGATGGTTTGAAGGTTTCGGAGACCGTCGGCCCTCTCGGCTTATCGGCCCGCTTAACCGTTTGTCCGAGGGGTCTCTCTTTCGCCGGTTTTCACTCTTCTGAAGAGTCTGCACCTACAACCAGCTTGTATCTACAGCGGCCAAATTTATACGTGTGCGTATATGATACCAATAGTGTACATACATAGATACATTTTATGTGCAAAAATCGGTGCGTGCGTTTATGTAATCGTCTCAGTCGTTAATATCATCTCTGCAGCCGTCCAAATTCTCCAATCGCGTCTATCCCGCATCTAATCAGTCCCAGACGCCCTAATCCACACCCCGTCCGCCCACGATTCCAGACCCAACCCGTCCCATGCAAGGATCCATCCCGTCCGGTATCATCGCGCATCCTTCCAATCCGTCACCCAATATCACGTCTTTTCGTTTGTGCGCGAAGGACGGCTGACCGGACGCCAACGAGCGCGCCCCAAGTCCTGCACCAGCAGTGACAGCGGGGCGCCGCGGCGGTACACGAGGGCCTACGAGCACGATTAGACGCAATCCCGCGAACGTGCGCAGATTGCAATGGAGCAAGTGGCGGACGGTACCATGTCGGACGCGCTACCGCTGCGCCTTACGTTGCCACAACGACGCCGAGTCCTTCTCCGTCCCTCTATCTCCTCCCCCTCCCCTCCCCTCCTACCTATCCCCACCTCCTTTGTTCCACCCTCCCACTCCTTCCCTCTCCTTGTCCCTTCCCCTACTCCTTCTTCCCACCTCTCTCCGTCCCTCTTCCCTACTACCTGTTCCCCTCACTCTCCCCCGACGCCCTCACCCCATCCTTCCCCCCGCCCCGCTCCTCCGCACTCACGACCCCCACGCTCACGAGCCCCACCTCGAGGTGCGGGAGGGGCCGCTCGTCGGGGTCCGCGTCTGTATCTGGGGGGAAGACCCATATGGGGCGTTGTGGTTCTGTCGGTGTGTGGTGGGGGTGGGAGGATGAGGATGAAGGGTGTTCCGGGATATGCGCGAGCGGATGGGAGGAAGTCGGGGAGGATGGAGGATGAGGGTGAGAAGGAGAAGGTACGGGCAGCGTATGTGGCATATGCGGGGTCCGTGGCGTCGTCGGTGCGTCGTGTAAAGCAGACGAAGCAGTGGTGGTGGAGAACGGCATCGCGATAAGCACCGCGACGCGCACGCGCGGCTGTTCTGGGACCGCTGCGTCTCCCCCTGCTCCTGCTACTCCAACTGCACTTGCATTTAGCGCAGTGGAAGATGCGGCGGCTGTGGGTGCTGCGGCAGACGCGGCGGTGGTGGGATTCGAATTTGAATTTATAGGCGCGTTTGGTGGTGTGGAGGAGGAGGGCGGGGTGTATGATGCTGCGAAGGGCTGAGAAATAAATGAGAAGGGAGGGTTAGCGAGTGTTCGTCGTGAGGGAGAGAAGAAGAAGAGGAAAAGGAAAGGAGTAAGTGGGAACGAGGAGGGAGGAACGGAAACGGGACAGGCGATTGGCCATTGAAGGGGGGGAAAGGATACAGATATAAGATGGGTGCGGGGAAGTGAAGAGGACAGGATAAACAAAACGAAATCGACGGCAATGGTGGTGGCGGGAAGGAGAAAGCGGTGGTCTGGGAAGGGTGGTGGAGAAGAAAGCGGGTGGGAAGGTGATGCGGAAGGAGACGAAGGGGTGTCAAGTTGGTGGATGGGAATGGATGGACGGGGAAGACCGAATGAAGAAGGGAGTGAATGGGGGCAGAGGAGGTCGGGAGGATCGAATAAATATTTAAAGAGTGACGGAGGGCAGGAAAAAATACGGGATGGGGTAGAATGCGGTGAGACGAGGCGCGGAGAGGGAGTGAAGGAAGGGAGGGACGACAAAAATAATGAAAATGGGATGAATGAAGCCGAAACCGGGGAGGATGAAGATGTAGATGAAGTAAAATATTAAAGAGATGAAACGAAGTATGAAGAGATGAGAGAAAGACAGAATAAGTGGCGCAAAAATGAAGTCAAGAGGTCAAGGCGGGTACAAATGAACAAATGAAATCGGGCAGAAATGATTGGAGAGGAAATGAATGAAGAAGACTAGGTGAATGAAAAAAGCCAGAGGGCGGGAATGAAAGGATAAATCTGGGTATTACGAAGGAACGTCGTCATCGGAGTAACAACGAAAATCGTTGCCGATGGGACGACTGGAAATGAGGGCAGGAGGGAGAGCGCGAAACGGAAAGGAGCAGCTCCCCAGAGCACACCACGGAGAACTCGAAAGAATGAAAGAAAATCAATACAATAAAGACACCCACCATGATCCCCTCCCACTCGTCCTTCTCCCCTCCAGCAGCCGCACCGGGTGGCGCAGGCGGCACGACATACGCGTCCCACAAGCTCGGCTTCTTCTTCAAATCGACCTTCACCCTTGGGGCGGGCGGGATCCACGTGCCGTTCGCGATGGCTTCTTCGACCATGCGGCGATGGCGCCGCCTCAGGAGCAGCGAGCGCACGACAATCGCGGAGGAAACGCCCAGTAGGAGTATCAGGGTGGCGAGAAATGTGTACACTGACAAAAGTATAGGAATTAACGACATAAAATCATGAAGGAGAAACAGACGCACGATACAATTGCGCCGATGACTGTGGACCCGGGGGACCCTGGTCTTGTCCACCACCGCCGCCACCGTTGCCAGTGGGTGGGAGTGGCGACGGAGAGCTGGTGGGAAATGGGTCGGAGAACGTCGAGGGAACGCTGTATGAGGATGTGGCAGAAGCCGAGTTTGAATCCGTCGCTGATCCACGTCCACTGCTAGACGACCGTCTTGAAGACGAGGAAGAAGAGGCCGACATGGTAGACTAGACGCAAGAGCAGTAGTCCGTCACGATAGCAAGAAACTTCTTCAGGCGGTAATAAGTTCCGCTGATTCCTAGTCGTTATGGAAATAAAGCAAACGCCGTCCCCGAGTGTGCTTTAAAGCTGTGGTAATCAACGAGCAGAACAACAAAAGAGCTTTTGTGTGCTCTTCAACGCCGTCGTCGCCGTCGACGTGGTGGAAGGAAGACGAGTAATAAGCAAGTAATATTAATAAGAGGTAATAAGCAGAAGTGTAAGCCTGCACGGGGTTTGACCGGCAATTGCATCATCCGTCGGCGATATCGGGTATCTCCTCTTGTTCTCCTCCTCCCATGTCCCAGTGCCACTCGTTGTGCAATTTTTTCTACGCTGGTTCGGAATTTGCTGGAAATATTCCTCGCTCAGCCGTTGACTCCCGTGGCGCTTCCCGCAAATTAGCTCAATCGCGAACGCATTTACAGCATCAACTTGTAAGCTTGTACATGACTTCCCTGCTGCGGAGCTCTGCGGAGACCCATGGGCCATCTCAACTCTTGTCAGCTTGCTCACACAGGCTCAGGTGACCCTGCTACAGCCTTGCGGATCCAGAGCTCGCCGACGGTGATTGGAATCTCCACTTGATGAAGGCTTTTGGAAGACTGCATCTTAAACACTTGTGAACCCGCGGCCGAGCTCTTTGAATCAAAATCTCCAGGCTGCAACTCGGGACACGGTGGGAAATGGTGTGCGGGCTGAATGCCTTCTGAACTACACCTATGCAGCGGTATAGTGTAATGCTGCACGCTGGGATTCAGTCAAAAAGCGACGAGTGACCAGCAATGCAGCCTGGAGGTCCTTGTTCGAATCAAGCCGCTGCTCTTCGATCCGAGTTCGTTCGTTTTTAAACCAAATTTTAATTCGACCTCACAAGCACTTACCCACCCGCAACAGAGTCCCAGGAAAGCAGTATGGTGTAAGGTAGCACGCAGGCATTCAGTGAGCGTTGACTTCGTAAGTGAACGTCCCGAAGTCTTTGTTCGAATCAAGGTGCTGCTATTAATCCGTCCACCACAACGTTTTTTCGCTCCTCAATTCAGTTTCTAGATCACTTACCCGCCCTCGAAACAGCGCCAGAAACGCAGTATGGTGTAACGTTGCACATGGGGTCGGCGTAGATCGTCGAAGCAGTCCTCGCCTCAAAGTCCTTGTTCGAATCGAGGTACTGCCGTGTTTCTCCACCCACATCTTTTTCTGATTTTTATCCGCCCATTCACCATCCAAGTATTCTAACATTTGCATGGATACCTTCGAAACAGCACCAGGAAAACAGTATGGTGTAAGGTCGCACACGGGGTTTTCGTTGGTAGATAATAGCTGAATCTCCAACCCCGGAGGTCCTTGTCCGAATCAAGGTGCTGCTGTGAATCCTTCCACCACAACTTTTTTTCATCCCTCAATTTGTTCCTCAACCACTTACCCACCCTCGAAACAGCACCAGGAAAGCAGTATAGTGTAATTCTGCACACGGTGGATTCCGTAATTCATCAACCCACCTCATTACCTCGAGGTCCTTGTTCAAATCAAGGTGCTGCTATTAATTAATTAATTAATTTTTTTTGCTTCTCAATTCGTTCCTCGACCACCCAGCCTCACAACAGCACCAGAAACGCAGTGTGGTGCAACGTGTAACGTTGCACATGGGTCGGCCTACGTGAGTCCTCTACGCAGAGGGGCAGTCAGAGTAGCTGATTCTGCTCGATTCTGCCTCACGATTCTGACAACGATTCTGAATTTATATATCGTGGGAGAATCGCGGGAAACCAGAATCGCACAGAATCGTTGAATCGGCTCTGGAGGCGGTTCGACGATTCTGCGCGATTCTCCCAACGATTCTGGCTTGCGGATTAAGTATTAGGGGAAGTCAAAGCCCTCGGGAGGGACCGATTCTGAGTCGATTCTGAGGCTGATTCTGACGCCAATTCTCAACTCCGGAATCGATCAAGAATCGGCGAGAATCGGTGTTCCTACTCCAGAGGAGGAACTGCATCAGAATCACCGATTCTGCATTTCGATTCTCATGACACCTGTTTCCGACCCTTCAGAATCGACACCAGAATCGGCCCCAGAATGGGACCGGTCAAAGCTGTCTCGATTCTGAAGTGATTCATATTCTGTAGAATCTAGCAAGAATCGGGTGCAGAATCGGCGCCAGAATCGGTCCCTCCCGAGGGCTTTGACTTCCCCTATTGCTGAATCGTCCCACTTGCATAATCACATCAGAACCGTGGGGCGGTCAAAATTGACCTCGATTCTGCCACGATTTTGCCACGATTCTGCTCGATTCTCGTTTGAGAATCTTACCAGAATCGGAGGCAGAATCAAGCAGAATCGGCTACTCTGACTGTCCCTATCGCCTCAAAGTTCTCGTTCGAATCGAGGTACCACGGCCTGCCATTTTTCTTCACCCAGATCGCTTTTGTTTCATTTGCCCATTCAAACACACATCCAAGTTTTCTATCTGAGTCCCAATCGCGTCGCGGCCCTTTGAGGAATAGTCTGTCACTCGAACTTGTCCCCATCATCTCTTTTTGGCGAATGCGATTCATCTCTACCGTGAAAACTCCACCTCGCAAACCACCTGAAAAGTTTTCCAATGTCGAATCTTATTTTGCTGTAGCTGGGGTGACCCGACACATGCCGGCAGCGAGACTGGTTTAAGGGCCACCAGTCAAGTTGAACCTTCGAGATTCGTTCTGGTTGAAAATTACAAAATATAAAAACTTAGGCGATAGTACTCGAGGAAACAAGGAATGCGCAGTAATATTAGAATGTGAAATTCTCTCCGATAAGATGCTCAGTAACTGTCCACAGCTTCTCTGCGTTTGCCTAAAAATCTTGCTTTGGTAGACGTTAAAACAAAGACTGGTAGTGCTCACGGGATCCGAGGTGTGGGGTGCAATCTGATCATTCGCCTCTGCTGAGTCCACCAGGTAAGCACCAGGTTTGTCTGTGAAGAGTGGGTAATTGTCGTTACTGAATAATAATAAAATCTGCGCAAGAAACTCACCCTCAAGCCGTGGGTCAAACGCTGCAGCCACAGTTCTAACTGTCTGTCAGATATAATTAAACTGAACTTGAAGAAAGGCAATCACGTTGCGGCTCCTTGGGGAATATTCTTCCACTCGAACTTATCCGTGTTGGGCGTACCATCGGGGTGCAGGATGCCTAGGATAAAATAAAATACACGAAGAAAATAAATTGAACCGCGTACCGGCTGCGATCATATCCGCCTTGGTGGACTCCTTCTGGTTGATGTTGGTGAGGATGGCTAGATAAAAGGAATTAATTTTGGCCGGTGCTTGTCATATAGCTCGAATTGCGCACCTCCGGGGTGCAAACTATACGCATTGATTTTCCCCTTCGCTCGCTTTGATAGTTCGATGGCGGTGAGAATATTTGCGGACTTGATGGGCGGGTACGCGCCAAGGTTGGTATACTTCTCCGCCACAGGGTGTTCGAGCTGGTCAAATTCGACCCCCGGGCCCCATGCGTGTGCCGCGCTGGAGACGAACACCACGCGCGGCGTGTAGGTTGCTGTCCTGGAGGCGAGTAATTTGGGGACGAGCAAGTTCGTTAGCAGGAATGGACCAATGTGGCCGGCTGCCATCTGAAGCTCGAACTTGTCTTCAGTGAGGGTGAACGGAACGCCTCCCGCAGCCGCGTTGTTGATTAGAACCTGCAAGTCATATGAACGTTTAACCCACGCAGCGTAATACCTCAGCGGACGTACATGTAGGGGTTCCGGATACGCGTTAACCTCAGCAGCAGCTTTTCGAACGGCGGCGAGCGATGTGAGGTCTAGAACAAGTGGTCGGACATTGGCTGACGGAAAGTCCTTCTTTATAGCCTCTTCTGAAAGTTTCAACCTGCAGATATAAATAATTTCTCGTAACCAATCATGGACGTTGGGCACCTCTCCAGATTATATCCGGTGATGACAACGAGGTTCGCATGCTTCGCGATGACACGGGCTGCCTCAAATCCGATTCCGTTGATGGAGGTGCCAGTGATTAGAACTATCGAGCATCAGAAAAAAGAGGTTGAATCCTCTGCTATCTATTCACTCTACTCACCGTTTTTGCCCTGAATTTGGTCAACGAAGGCCTTGACGACCTCCTCAGCAGTCGTAGTGGATGTGAAAGTGGGCGAAGACATGATATTTGAAAAATCTTGCCATCTCCTCTCCTATTTATATACAGTTCGAAAATTCTTGTCAGGCTGACTCATTAAGGACTTTATAAGAGCGGTGTTCCTAACGATTTATAAGGCGGGCCGCAATGATATTGCGTCATGCTTCCGTCGGTGAAATCGATTGTATCTTTGTTCATCATTGCAGTTCTATCAGATTTTAAGCGGGACCGGCCGTGTAATACTACTTACCTACCTACTATTTGATTCAACTTCAGTCGCAGTTCAACTGCAATCCTGAAACAGCATTTTAACAGCAGTATGGTGTAGTGTTGCATACAGGGTTCAGCATAAGTTATTTACCCGCTTGATGCCCCCAGGTCCTTGTACAAATTAAGGTACTGCTCTAGATTCTTCTCTGCAATATCATCCAGAGTTTTTTCTTTCCTTGATCTTTTTCCCCCCAGGTGGAGATGATCGAAACAGGACCGCGAAAGCAGTATGGTATAGTGTTGTACGTGGTGTATCGTTGATGAAACCGTCTATCCATTCAATCCCTGAGGTCCTTGTTCGAGTCAAGGTACTGCTCTTCGATCTCGTCCCATACAATTTTATTTATTTATTACTCAATCGAATTTTGTTCAGTTGTGGACTCTTGAAACTCTACCAGGAGAGCAGTATAGTGTAATGCTGCATGTGGGAATTCAGTTGCCGTTACTCTCCCAACTGACTGTCCCGAGGTCCTTGTTCGAATCAAGGTACTGCTGTTCATGGCAGTCATGTTGCCATTAAAATCCGAATGGAATACATGGAAGCTTTTTTCTTAAATACAGTCTCATAAGTACATTGCTTGTACACTATTCATCTAGGCCTGACCATCCAACCTTCAACAATATCGATTCTCGAATTCCTGGTTCGACAACGGTATTGTTCTATGTTCTGTTTATAATGTCGTCGCATGTCGAAACAGGGCGAACGGTTCATGGTGTTAGCTCGGCGTTTGTATGAGTCCAGGATACGGAAAACCGATTCTATGTTACTGTTGAACGTGAAAGAAAATGTTGCGTAACGACGATGAAGCATCCCTATTCATTCTGGCGTTGTTACAAGTTATTATTTGTTTCACTTTGGAAAGATGTTAATAATGCAGAAACTATGTGGCAGATTTGAAGAATTTCCGGTCGAATCCGAGTCGCTCAACATTGCCACCGATCAATGACGCAGATGAGATCGCGATTTGATCGATAAAGAATACGTAACAGCGGGGTATATAACCGACATCATGCTTGCAGCCGTCATTCTCAAATCTTCCCTCGCTCTCTCGAATGTCTGCCCAGGAGGTAAGAGTTTTTTCTCTTTTCAATTCGAATTAAACTCAAGGTGTCACCAGTACTCCCCGTCTATTTTGCCCGACCTTCCCGGCGAGCGGGTTTCATCCCAACCAGATGATGACTGGGTTTCATCGGAGCCATATAACGACTTAGTTTCCTCTCGGCCATATGACAACTGGGTTCCGTCTGAACCATATGATAGCTTCACCGCCGAGAATCCCGTCCGTAGTGATTATTATCGTCCACGGCGAAGCTGAACAATTTCCGCAGGTCACCTCACGTCTGAAAATCTCAAATACATCCTCAGAACCACAACCAGATGTTGCAGGACTTCAACATAGTCTAGGCAAATCCTTCAAGCAGGCTTACAAAGATGGAGGAACCTTGCAAGATCTTGAGTATGCACTAGACGCTCTACAGCTCTCTGTCAATCTCACACCTGAGGGCCATCCTGAGAGAACAGACCGTCTCAACGATTTCGCTGGGGCTATGGCATATCGATACCGGAGGTTTGGGCAGCTGAATGATCTCGAGGCT